TGTTTTTTGCAGAGGCCTGCCTCTGGAATTCCCCCATTTGCCCACGATTTACATCTTGTGTCTCTGTTGAATTGTTGATATTTTCCTTAAATGTCTACATTGTACCTGAAAAATACTGTATTTTAGGATATTTATACTTAGAATTTTTGTTTTGATTCAAGAATTGTGCTGGGGGTCTGAAGAACACCTTGACCTTRGCTATCTTCTTCCCTCCTTCTCTGGAGCCTTATAATGCTGAAAAATCCTTTATTTTTCTTCACCTTCAGGTCTTAATATTCCTTTCTTTTGGGCCTTTTTTATTAAATCTTTTCACCTGTAGCTGTTGTGGAGTAGCCTTTTTTTTTAATTTTTTTTTTTTTAGTTGTAGATTGTCACAATACCTTATCTATCTATCGATCTATTCTTATGTGGTGCTGAGGATCCAACCCAGTTCCTCACTTGTGCTAGGCAAGCACTCCACCACTGAGTCCCAGCCCCAGCCCTTGGAAATCGCTTTTTAAACCCATCTGATCATGTCCTCTGCTTTAACAGTCTTTCAGTTACTTCCTATTCTTGGGAAGATAAAATCCTCAGTCCTGTATGCTGTATGCAGACCCAGAGTGATCTGAGTTCGTGCATGTTTCACCACTTTTGTTCTAGGACTCTCTACCCTTCCTATGCTCTTGTGATGCAGCCCTGTTCTAGAACAGCTGTGCTCCTTCCAGCTTGAGGGAACGAGGGACTGGAAGCTTCTGCATACATATTCCAGATATGGGGGGTTGCTCTCAACTCAGTGAAGTCAAGTTGAAAAATATTCACTATTTTCTGATTTTTACAGTGGCTACTGAGTAACTGTCATTGTCATAATAAGAGCTGAAGTCTTCCCATCTTTTGCTTTTCAGTATGAGAGTAAATTTTTGAAACCTGTTTACTTGGCTGCTTTTGAACATCCTCCCTTGGGAATTGCAATGTGTGCTAGAGTGTGTGGTGGCCTGACGGGTATGCTCCAGCATCATCCTGCAGTAACTCAACTGTGTGTGGCCATTGTAGCCTTCTGCCAAGTGCCAGACACACCCTTCCAGAGGAAATTCCGCAGATTCAGACCTGTCAGAGTTGCTTCTCTGCAGGTTCACAGGCAGGGGACGAGCTGGACTCCCAGGGGCCTGGAAGTAGGTTTGTTCTCTGCATCCTGCCAGTCCCTTGTTTAAGAGGGCCCTCTGGCTGAGCAGAGTGGCTCTGCACACCAGGAACAGTTGCCTTTGTGAGTTTGATTTTAGGAAGCCTTMGGAGAAAACTAGTCCTGTAGACAGCAGTGGCAGTGTTTCATGGAACTTAACTGCTGTCCTTTCATTTCCACTGGAATCGACTTCTCTATTCTCACAGGAGTGTGCCAAGAACTTAGCAAGCTCCATCTCTGCTCTTCACTGAGGATCTTACTGGGGAGAAAAACCCAATAATTAGTCTGCCCAGATATTGATAAAATTCAAATTCTCAGATGGTGAAGATACATTTGGATGTGTCTGGACAAATGGCTTCCTAATGAGGCAAATTTAATGGAAACTTAATATCTTATCAAGAAGAAAAAAGCACTCAACTAGTATTAGCACCTTCTTTTGCTATTTTAATCCTAAAAAAGAGAACTTAGTGTAGTTTCTTAAGGCTTATTTAAGGAATTATGTTTTATTATCCCAAACAAGACGAGTGTGCAGTGATCTATGTTGAGTAGGGTGAATGGAAATAGACAAACTCCAAATTAGGGAAAAGGTGAGAAATACGGTATAAGAAACCAGTGTGTTGCCAGGGTGCAGCACCCCAGGTCAGATGATAGCTGTGGGCTGTCAAGTCTACTGTCAGGCTTTGTATGAGGCATTTCAAGGGCACCTGAAGCAGCAATATGCACATTAAAGATAGCAAAGAAATAGAAAACTTAAAAAAAAAAAAAAACATAGACAGGGAGTCCTGGCCCTCTCTTAGCTTTCTGATATCATTTTATTTATTTATTTTATWTATACATATATATTTTAGTTATAGATGAATACAATACCTTTACTTTGTTTATTTGGTGCTAGGGATCGAACCCAGTACCTCACACATGCTAGGCAAGCGCTCTACCACTGAGCCACAACCCCAGCCCCCTGATATCATTTTAATCTGAAAGTTTTATGTGACCCTAAGGAGCAGGGTCCCAGAAGACAGAATGAATTTTTTATTAGTCCTTCTAAGGGACTAAGAAGTAACTGAATTTGGAGAAATTTAATTTGAAATTTGGAGAAATACAGAAATGAGAGATTTTGTTTCCTAGTGTTATAGACGGTTCATATAGTAAAGCATTTTAAGGGGGAAAATTGAAAAACTTACATACAAATCCTCAAAGAGATTTTTTTTTTAAAGAGAGAGAGAGAGAGAGAGAATTTTAATATTTATTTTTTAGTTATCAGCAGACACAACATCTTTCTATGAGGATCGAACCCGGGCCGCACRCATGCCAGGCGAGYGCGCTACCACTTGAGCCACATCCCCAGACCCTCAAAGAGATTTTTTAAAATATTCTAATAACATAACAAAGAGCTCTTGAAAAATAACCATAAAAGATAAAAGTTGTGCCAGGTACATTGGCATATGCCGGTAATCCCAGAAGTTTGGGAGGTTGAGGCAGGAGGATCACAAGGGTGAGGCCAGGCCTATTTCAAAACAAAAAGGACTGGAGATGTAACTCAGTGGTAGACAGGCCCTGGGCTCAATCTTCAGTACTGCACATAACAAATAAATAATTTATGTTGCTACTACTAAAAAAATTACTGATCTAGAACTGAGGTCAGCAAACTAATACATGCAGGTCAGTCTAAGCTGCTGCTGCTTATTACAGATGAATTTTGCTGGATCATAGCTGCATTCTTGTGTTTGTAATCTTAGCTGATTTCATCCTATAGTGGAAGAGTTGAGTCAGAGCAATGATGGAGTCTTCATTGACCTGCAAGCTTAAAATGTTTACCCTCTGGTCTTTAAGAAAAAGTTTGTGGATTCCTGAGGGGATCAAGTTATTTTCCAAAACAAATTATAAAGAGAAAAGCAACTAGGATAATTACACACACACACAGACACACACACACACACACACACACACGTAAGACAGAACACATGGAGCAAAAAAGAAATGTAATAGCATAAAACTCAAAAGATTCAGAAAATGTGTATTCAAATAGAGATGGGCCACCATGTGCTATGCAGAATTACTGGAAGTAAACCCAACAAACTTGAAGATGTCACAATATCATTGCTGAACTCTGAGGAGAAAAATAAATATTTCAGAAGAAAAGCATCAAGCTTCTTTGGGGCTTCTAATAATAAAAACTAGAGGACAGTAAACAGCACATAATAGCTTCTACAATTAATGTGTGAACTCTCTCCACTTTTGTGAGTTTGTAGACAATCATGTTCTGACCCAGAGGAGCTATTACATGGGACTGTCTTGATGAAATTTTAGAATTATTAGGATCCTGCCGCCATTTCAATAAGATGTGAACATGAAAATACTGTGTTAAACAGCAGCCTAACCCAGTATGTTAGTAACTTGCCTTAGTGTTGAGGCAAGCTGCAGTCTTGCAAACATTATACTCTTGGAAGTCAGTTGGGATAAGTGGTGACCAGCTGTGCCAGCAAGCCCCTCCCAATTAGAGTGCGGTATCTGAGGCATCAAGGAAAGCTTGGAACTGATCTAAGAGAACCATCTCTAGAAAGATAGCTTGTCAGTGAAACACAGCAGCAGGATAAGAAAATGTCTCTAATGAGAGAGTGAGTGGGGATGTTGGTGGGAGCAAGGACAGCAATTGGAGGCTGTTCATAGAGAAACAAGGTCAAGAACCCTGTAAGAAGTGGTTGTCAACAATTAACGACAGTCATTAAACCCCAGCCTCATTGAGTTTCCTTTTGGGCCAGAACAGACCAGAAAACTGAATGGACTGACTCCCAACCCCAAGACAGCTGAATGACACAATCACTTTAGTGGGGAAAGGTAGCTGGGCATAATCTCTAATAGCCATCAAAGTTTTGTTTGTGATGAAAGCTAGGAAATTAAGTTTAAAGTCAGTGTTGTGTGCAAGTCATGTATTCTTTGCTAACAGTAATGGTGACTGATGAAAATTTTACATTTTGTCACATTTTTTAAAAATGTATTTTAAACTGATACTTTAAAAATGTAAAAATTGAGCATGTTGATGGGGTAACAGTTAATGTTGGATACATGTATACATTGCCTGATGTTTAATCAGATTAAATATTTATCTCCTCAAATTTTTATCATTTCTTTATGGTGAAATCTTTCAAAATCCTTTCTTTTACCTGTGCTAGGTATGGAACCCAGGGCRTCAGGCATGCCAGGCAAGCATGAGTTCACCCCCAGCCCTCTTTGGGCTTTTTGATCTCATTTTTTTTAAAGAATCAAATTTAAAGCCAGGYACAATGGTGCATGCCTGTAAACACAGCAGCTTGGAAGCCTGAGACAAGAGGATCGTGAGTTCAGCTATCCTCTGTAATTTAACGAGGCCCTAAGCAACCCCACAAGACTCTGTCTCTAAATAAAATATAAAAAAGGGCTGGGGATGTGACTCAGTGGTTAAGTGCCTCTTAGTTCAATCCCCAGTCCAAAAAAAAAAAAAAAAGTGTTATGATTGGGGTTTTGGGATGCACTTCCCCCAATCTGTTTTACAGCTCCTGTACATTGCCCATCTGTCATGAAAAAAAGAAAACATGTAATGTAGTTATGGATGGAATGGCCCAAAGTTCAAAATAATAACCCATTATTTTGCTTTACGTGTGTGTGTGTGTGTGTGTGTGTGTGTGTGTGTGTACGTACTAGGGATTTAATAAGAAGTAATTATGGTCACCTAAGTTAGGTGTTTTTGTGTTGTAGAAAAATTTATGATATTACTAAGCAAAGTCATTTACCATAGTCTAAGAATCTGTCATAAGCTTCTTTTTAGTAAGATCATTTTCTCAATACATTGTTTCCCATATTGTTTTAGAAAAGACGACGACGGATTGACCGAAGCATGATTGGAGAGCCAACCAACTTCGTACACACTGCTCATGTAGGATCAGGAGACCTGTTCAGTGGGATGAATTCAGTAAGTATGTTGGTAGAATGTGCACACAGGGCCTTGGGACATGGTCATKTGATAGATTCATACCCTCCCTCCCTTTTTAGGGGATGGGTGGATATAGATACTCAGAATTAAACCGAGGAACACTTTACCACTAAGCGAACATCTCCACATTCTTTTTATTTTTTGAGACAGGATCTCACTAAGTTGCCTGGCCTCAAGCTTGCAGTCCATCTGCCTCAGCCTCCTGAGCCTCAGTCAGCCTCCTGAGCCTCAGCCTCCATAGCCATGCACCACCGCCATGCCTGGCCTTATTCTTCAGTTTTGTTTTGTTTTGTTTTTTCTTTTGGGTACCAGGGACTGAACTCAGGGGAACTTGACTGAGCCACATCCCCAGCCCTATTTTGTATTTTATTAGAAACAGGGCTCACTGAGTTGCTTAGCACCTCACTAAATTGCTGAAGCTGGGTTTGAACTTGTGATCCTCCTGCTTTCACCTCCCAAGCTACTGGGATTTCAGGCGTGCACCACTGCGCCTGGCTTTATTCTTCAGAAAAAAACAGAATGCAGGGACAGTACCAAATGAGGGTTGTTATCAGGCTCAGCCTTCCCTAAGTCTAAGGCCCTCTTTTCCCTGTGTCTAAAGTAAACAGGAGTCTAGGTGATTTCTGARTGTTCAGATTGAAAGTCAGAAAGACTTTTATAAAATCAGAATTATGATTCATCATATTCTGACTGACTGGACAGCACTAACAAAAGACTTAACCAAAGAACAGGGASTTTTACAATAGGTGGATGGATATCCTGGATACAGCAGACCTTTTTGTGACTTCAGTTACTAGGTAAGCAAAGGAATGACATTTGTAGCTTCCTGAAAAGGAAGTAACTTGTTTGTTTTAAATCTGTAGGAAAAGTACTTTGTTTCACTTTACTGCTTTTATAGAAATGTAAGTGTGTCGGTATTGYTGTCAAAAGTGTCAGTGGGGCCTAGGGATGCAGCTCATTTGGTAGAGTGCTTGCCTCACATGCACAAAGCCCTGGGTTCTATCCCCAGCACCCAAAAAAAAAAAAAAAAGTGTCATTGGCTTTGTTTCCTGGATTGACATATTGACATGGAGTTTAAAAAAAAAAAAAAAAAACCATGGAGCAAAAACCTATTACTTTGATTAATATGGTTATTTTTTTTAATTTATTTTTTAGTTGTAGTTGGACACAATACCTTTGTTTTGTTTATTTTTATGTGGTGCTGAGGTTCGAACCTAAGGCCTCGCATGCGCCAGGCAAGTGCTCTACTGCTGAACCACAACCCCAGCCCTAATATGGTTATTAATATATAATTATGTATCCATGTGTACAGAATGAGTGATTTTAGATTTATTATATGAGGGCTGGGAATTTATCTCAGTTGCTAGAGTGCTTGCCTAGCATTCACAAGGCCCTGAGTTAAATCCCCAGCACCACCACCAAAAAAATAAATAAATAAAATAAAAGATTTTTGGCCTGGGGATACAGCTCATTTGGTAGAGTACTTGCCTTACATGTACAAGGCCCTGGTTTAATCCCCAGCTCCCCCCCCCCCAAAAAAAAGATTTATTACATGATGAATCTTAATTCTTAATTTATTATCAACAGATGTCTTCTTAGCTACATCAGACTTTAAAAAAAAATCTAACTATAAACTGGGGATGATTGTGCCCACCTGTAATCCTAGTGGCTCAGGAGGAATAGGATCCCAAGTTCAAAGCCAACCTCAGCAACTTAGTGAGACCTTGACTCAAAAAATACAAAGGGCTGAGGATGTAGTTCAGTGGTTGAACACCCTTGGGTTCAATCCCTGGTACCCACCCCCCAATATAACTAGAGGAGGAATTAAATTATAGTTTATGATATTTTGTTAACCTTTTAAATCTTGCCTCTGCACATTTCAGAATTTTCTTTAAGATTTCTTTGAGTGAAAATTATGTTGTAGATACACAACTCTTCTGCTTGCCATAAACTTAGGTGRAATTTTAGGATTACACTGGGGGCTAGATGTCCCATCTTCTTAGCCCAAGATGAGGATAAGGTGGACATCAGCTATTGCACAGGTTTTAACCTACAGGGTCAGATCACTGGGATTTCCTTTTTTCTTTTCTTAACATATATTAACAATTTAGTAGATTTCACTATGATATTTCTATACATGCACAAAATCTTACATTAACATGTCACCTTTCCTTCTGTGCTTTTTCTCTGGGACTTTTTATCAAGTGTGTCAGCTCTTTAGAACCAAATTTGTCTTCCAAAGGCTTTTTGTAGTCATCTGTGAGTTTGTCGTCGCCAAAGTGATGCCACCTCCACAGAACATTGAGTTCTTGTGGTCAGGAAGATAAGTCAGCCAGTCAGTTTCTTAAAAGTATCAGTGATAGTTCTTAAAATAAAACATTTTTTAAAAGGACTGGAGATGTGACTCAATGGTAAAGTACCTCTGCAGTCAATCCTTGGTACCAAAAAATAAATTTAAAAAATAAAGTAAAATATAAAATACAATTACACAACACATCACACATAAAACATATAACATAAAGTTTAAAAATAGGACTAGAGGGTTTTGTTTATACTTTTACCTAAATTTGCTATTTGAATAATGTGAATACAGATACTGCAGTAATACCTTATTATGTGGTATCATTAGAGTAATATATTCAAATTAGTAAAAATTTTCCAGATCAATAAAAATGCATCCATTTAGGGCTGGGATTGTGGGTCAGTGGTAGAGTGCATGCCTAGCACATTCAAGGTCCTGGGTTCGAACCTCAGCACCACATAAAAATAAATAAAACAAAGGTATTGTGTTCAACTAAAAAATAAATATTAAAAAAATATATTCATTTAACACAGAGTTTATTATTTAAATCCTTTGGATCTAAACAAGCTGTGCCTTTTATATATTACTATTCTCTTCTATTAACATATTCTAAACCTTACTCCAAAAACATTCAGGAAAGTCTTTCTTAAACATAATAAATTCAGGATCATGCTTTATGTTACAGTGAGTGCTCAGGAAGCACTTGGTAAATAGGTTAATGAAGAACAGTGGCCCTGTTTCCTCCCCTTCCCCTAGATCTTGGCAGTGGGAATGGCCCTTTGAGCTGATTTCATGATGCTTGATGAGACTCAGTGTTTTGACCCTTCACTGCATGGCTATCGCCTTCAAATCTTATTGTTGTGTTTTTTCTTCCAGTAGCCTGGCCTGATTTTCTAATTCTCTGCTTCCAAAATATTTCTGATTTATATGAATGAAAATGATATAAACTAGCCAGATATGGTAGTGCACATGCTTGTAATCTCAGCTACTTTGGAGACTGAAGTAGGACAATGTTAAGTTTAAGGCCAACCTGAGTAACTAAGAAAAATGGGGGCAGGGACTGAGGATGTAGCTCAGTGGTAGAGTACCACTGGGTTTCATTCATCCCCAGTACCACCAAAATAAATAAATAAATAAAAGTGCTTCACAGTTTGCAAAAGACTGTGTGTGTGTGTGTGTGTGTGTGTGTGTGTTAAAACAAAGTAAGAAAATATTCCTGTGTTTGTATATTTTAGTTTATGATATTTTGTTAGCTCCATTCAGAACCAGATGCAGTCCAAGGGAGGGTATGGAGGTGGTATGTCTGCCAATATGCAGTCTATCAGAAAATAGCCTTGAAATGTGGTTAGGAGAGATTATGATCTTAACCACTGTATAGATATGAAGCCATATATTCTAAGAAGATAAATAGTTTGTCCAGTTACAAGATTAATAAATAAACTTATCTTTGAATTCCTAGATTCTCTGTCAGACTATATTAAGACCATACATTTTGCACATAGACTTGAAGATTTATCTCTGGCTGGTCCAGTTTCATTCATGCTTATTTTCTTGCTTCAGAGTCTGGTCTAAGAAGTGGTCATGTATCTGAGGTGTCTTCAAGTGAAGAAACTACTTTTTAAATGTTACCAAGCACCTTGTGCATTACCAAGCTGACATTTCTTTAAAAGTTATTTAAACTGGGAAATAGAGAAACTAAAGTAGAAGAAGTTATCACAAAAAAAAAAGTCTCTCAATTACAAGCTTCACCATTTGTCCTTATAATCAGAAGATATTTAAGTTCACCAGAAAATTTTTTTTTTCCTCTATAAAACTGTCCTTCTGACAAAAGCAGCCCAGCTAACATGTTGGGAAAACAATGGTTTCATTGTTGCACTGGACACCTGGTTTCTTACTTCTGTCTTATTTTGTCTTGTAGGTTAGCTCCATTCAGAACCAGATGCAGTCCAAGGGAGGGTACGGAGGTGGTATGTCTGCCAATGTGCAGATGCAGCTTGTGGACACGAAGGCGGGATAGCCCTGGGTCCTTCCCCAGTGAGTACTCAGAGCTGGGGGGCCACAGGCCGATGTGGCAACAACAGCCTTGCTTTAAGCCTCGGGTTAAAAATATGGGTCTTGTTCTTTATTATTTTTCTTTAACTGCAAACTTAGAAAAGCAAAAATAATTTCTTCAGCTAAAAGTTTAAAGGGATGGGCATAGACAGTTACTGTATTTTGAATATAAGTTTTGGGTGTTGTTTTCCTTATGAAGAATTTTAAATGCTTTAAAACATCAAAGTTGGGGAGGAAGCTTTTGCCTGAGATTCTGGTGACAAGATGCGGCTTCTTGTGTCCTTACACAAAAATGAAATTGTCATTTTGAATATYGATACTGTAGGTATCATGATAATCTCATGAGTAGTGCAGTAATCTTATATTTAACTTAATTGTTTGTGAATCGTTCATAAGCTTTCAAATTAAAAAGACTATGATGACTAAGAAGGGTGAACCTTGAAAATATAAAAATAATTTGAATTTTTCTTTTGGTTTTATAGGTCATTGTGAATTTCTATATTTTTCTGTCTACTATAATTTTTTTTGTCTTGTGATTGCATTTATTTTATTTTTAATTACAAAAAAGAAGTGCGATGGCATCTTATTCACCCTCTGTGATTACTCCAGTGAGATGTTGCTGTTCTGCTCTGAAGAAGATACTGTCAAGCGGATCCCGCCTTTTCTCCGCTGGCGTGCATGCCTTTGGACTCGTGGACTGAGTTCTTTGGATTGTAGCTGAATTTTCAACGTTTAATCAATGTGGATCTGATCTTAGCATGATTTTTATTTGTTTTCGTGAATGCTAGCACCATTTTGTAATTTTTTTCCATTGTAGACATTTTCTTTCCACCTCCAACCCCCTCTGCCTTATGATTTCACTGGTAAACAAAGATCTGCTATTGCTAACTTGTCACTATGTGTGTATATTTTGGAAGATGTGAGACACACAAGCACAATGGTCATTTTTGTTTGTTTGAAACTTCAGCAGAATAGGTCTCTGCATGCTTTATGGAGTTGCTTTGATGGGAGCCCACGGGATGCCAGAGTTAACGTTTCCTTGCTGCCATGGGCTAATGATACTGCTGCTATTAGATGKCGTTCAGCTGTGGCACCAAGTCACATCAGTTTCACAGAAAAAAAAGATAACTTCRTAGCTTATTTTAGAAATATGACTTTTTGGCCTATTTGATTAGAATTGCAATAAGAAAAACTTGCATTCATAAGGCATTCTTTCTGTTGTAAATGTTTGGTATATTTATATATATTTTGAGAGCAAGGCCCTGCGGTTTTGAGGAGGGGTGGGTCTGCATCTGGATGCTGGAACAGAGCTCTCATCCAGTCTGAGTGAGTTGCTCCATCCCATTAGCTGTCCATTCTTTGTGCACTTGTTTTCATTTCATGTTTAATATTTTGGCATCCAGTTGTTTCTGCTAGCAGCATGTTGAACTTACGGCCTGTGCTACTAATAGCAGACCACCAGAGTCATTGGAGTTTCTGTGTTCTGCATATTTTGGGGGCCTTGGGTGTTGCCAAGAGCAACACACTGACCTGGTGGAGTCACTGCTGATGAAGGCAGCCTATATGGTGGCTTTTTATGGTATTGGTAAGAAGCCTTTGCTCAGGTTCCAAAATGTGTTTATCTTTTATAAATTGTGTATTTCAAATATTTCCTCTTCCCAATTATAGCAGTGGCAGTGGTTTGTGTTATTAGAATGTTTAAATC